TAGGCGATAGTAGGGATCTCTGTCTTTGTTACCTCATTAATCATTTTGCTTCAATCTTTCATATTAGTCTTAGCATCTGCTGTTTTGTATGTCTCCTGCTTTTCCAATAAATCGTAAACCTCTTAGAAAAACAGCATGGTATAAAGGAAGAGCACTTGAAATCAGAGCCTTAAAGTTATTTCCCCAAAGTAATAGAGCTGATAATGTGGCTGGGCCCTAATTTTCTAGCTTGTGAAATGGGGATAATAAAACCTACCTCGTAGAGTTACTATGAGAATTAAATGAGATAAAATATAAAAGGGTTTGGGTCCTAGTGGTTGGTGATGGTGTTGGTGGACAGTAGTGAGAAGGTGGTCAGCATGGGCTGAAAGAACTCGTCAGCTCCTGTACTTTCAGGAATGAAGCCACATAAACACCTGGGACAGAGAGTTAATGACTGTTCTCAGTAGTCAGTTCCTCTTCCTAACACTCCTCAGTGTCTGAAGATAATTCCACAGGGTGAGTTTAAATCTTGCTGTGGAAATTTAAGTCACCTTTTTTTTCTGTTTCTTTCTTTCTTAGTAAAGGTAGAAGAAAAATCATTGGCAACCTCTTAGTCAGTCTTAGAGATTGTTATTAGATCACTTCTTGATTATCTCTTCTTGCGGATAATTAATTTCAGTTTCCTTAACATCTCTTCTGGTGCCCATCTTCTAAACCTTTAAGTGGGTCCTTTGCTTTCCTCTGTCTCCCAGAGTAATATTCCTTCCAGGCTGGGGAACAGTTGTTGGGTAACAGGTCAAATGTATTAATAGGCAGGCCATATGGTTCACAGACACTTGGCTCTCAACAACTTGATAGGAATTCTGGTGGTTTGATTTTTTTTTTTTTAATTTTAACTATAAAAATGTAAGAACCATCTGGTGTTATTTTTTGTATGTGATACTGGTAAGTTATTTAGTTACACTGCTCCTATGCAATTAGCACTGCTCTACTGGAGGCTTCCATGGCAAAGCTGGGTATACTTTATTTTCAGTTGTCATGTATGTGGAGTGTGTGTGTCCCATCTAGATTTCCTTCATAAATTGCAGCAGGTTTACATACATGTAATTAGGTCTTATGATTTATATGGCTTCTGTCTTAGCTGGTTAAATGCTTTAATTGTAGTGGTCCATTTGATTGGTTGAGAGTAGGTCACATAGTAATTGCTATGGAGCAAACCAAATACAGTAGTTAATTAGAGAGTGATGCCAGGGTAGTTTAGTTACAATGGAAGCCCTCAAGGAAGAGAACTGGAGTTGACATCTGAAGGGTGATAAAGATAACCAAATAAAGATCTGCAGTGAGAGAATTCTAAGAGGAAGGAAGAGTTAAGAGCAAAGGCTCTGAGCCAAGGAATAAGCACAGTACAGGAGGAAGTCCAGTGGGCTTCACTGCAGTGAGAGAGAGAAGGCAGGGAACTGAGGGTGAAGAGGGTCTAGTCTAAGTATAATAGAAACGATTGGAGGTTCTTAAGGGAGGAGATTATGTCATCTGATTTATAGTTCCAGAAAGCTCGCTCTGGCTGCTAAGTGGAAATTAGATTGTTATGAGCAAGAATGGAGGCAGGGAGATCAGTCAGGAGGCTATAGCTATTGTCCAGATGAGAAACGTTGGTGGCTTAGACTAAGGTTGTGTGGTATAGATGGTGAGAAGTGATAAAATTTGGGGTATATTTTGGATATGGAATCTATGGGACATATTGGATGATGTTGGCCTGAGAAACTGGATGGTTTGTGATGCAATTCTTACTCAGATAGAGAAGGCTTGATGATTCTTTTTTGCCTAGTTAAGGTTGAGATGGCTAATGGACATCAAAGTGGAAATGTCCAGCAGGTAATTGAGTATATGAATCTGGAGCTTAGTGAGAGATGAAGACTGATATGTTCATTTAAATTACGTGAAGGTTAAGAGCATAGAGAGAGAGGAGGCTGAGGTCTGGGTCCAGGAGACACCATCATTTAGAAGTCTGAAAGAGACACCAGCAGAGGACACTGACAGATAGTAGCCAGAGAGGTCGGAGAGAACCATACGCTGAATAGATGCCTGGAAAGGAATGTGTTTCCAGAAGGAAATGGTGACCTTTTCATTCAGTTTCAAGTGTTAGCACCCAGCACTCATATTAAAATGTAATTCCTCAAGTTTATTCCGTAGCTGCAAACTTAGTGACGACTAGAGCACACTGGCCTCAACACCTGCCCACAGAAACCCTCAGCCACAGTGGGATCAGAAAGAGGGAGGCTCTTATCTCCTTGGGGGCCATGTGGGGAGATGGGCCTTTGCTCAAGTCTCGATCAGAATTTGTGAGGTTTTCATACCATTACCAAAGCAGCAAAGAGTAATTAGTTTGTTGTTGTTGTTGAGGAAGATTGGCCCTGAGCTAACATCTCTGCCAGTCTTCTTCTATTTTGTATGTGGGATGCTGCCACAGCATGGCGTTATGAGTTGTGTAGGTCCATGCCCAGGATCCAAACCCGGGCCACCGAAGTGGAGTGCACCGAACTTAACCACTATGGCACTGGGCCAGCTCCTATGTTGTTGTTTTTTAATGGTAGGTATGTATAGAGCTGGCACAGCTACGCCACAAGTCAGCTCTTTGAAAATCATCAGTAACTAAATTCTAATTCTGTATTCTAATTCCAAGACTTTAAGGTAGACCTGAAATAAAAGTCTGTAGTCAACTCAGTGCATGAAAGGACACGTAAAAATGCTTATGTTTTTAACTTCTTAATGTGCTAATCCTGACAAGCTAGGTCTCCTAATAAATCATTTTCTAAATTTTATCTTTTCTTGAAGGCAGCTCCTGCTTGGGAGTTAACTTCAGGTTATGGAAAATTGTTCTGTTATTTGTTAGTCACTTGATAAATGATATTATTTAAATGAGGAGTAGAGATTTCTTGCTTTCTACCACTCTTAAAGTGAAAGTAGAATGCATTCGGACAAACATTTTAAATCGAAGAGCAAAATCGGGGAGTCCTCTTTTTTGTATCATACACTATAATTTGATAGGTAATTTTTCCTGCTGTATTAAGTGTGTTTTCTCTAAAACCCAAAGTAGGATCATGCTGTAAACAAGATAGTTTATTTTGGTGATTCTCGCCAAGTTTGGAGAAATAGTGGATTTGTTTTAAATTAAGCAAAGCTGCATTTTCTTTCCGGAAGGTTCAATGGATGACAAATATTTAGGCAAACTCTGTAAATGTTTATTCTAACCTGTTATTCTACTGACATTTAGTTGAATTTTACAAATAGATAAAATTAGTAAGAATGTAGCAGACTGACAGTTGGTAATAGATTGTGGTGAGGAATATTCTTTTGGTTATTCAACCAAATATTTGGTTCACTAATTGAATGAGACTTGCTGGGAACAAAACCTCAGAAAATCATCCCTTTCCATAATTTTAGCAGAATGATTGATTCTGCTTCTTTGCATAAAAACAAAATTTTATGATACCTCAAAATTCTCCATTTTTTTCTAAGATCAAACTGGAAGTAGCTTGTTTACCTGGTTGGCTCAATCCCATTTTCAAAGACTAAAGCTCAAACATGAATGCCTGAAGCAGAGGACCTCACCTGTGCTCTACCCCGGTCGTAAATGAGTGAACGTTAAGCCAGTCTGACAGCTGTGTATTTACTTCTATGTGCAGGTTATAGGATGTAACAAGCCTTGTCCTAGGATCGCTCATGAGCAGTTATCTTTTTGAAGTGTCAGGCTGTCCTTAGGTGGTTCCTGGTGTCCAGAGCCATGTGTAGGAGGTGCGGGGTAGGAGTGAAGGAGGCTCTGGGTTCTTCTCTTTCTCCTGCCTCCCCTCTGCCACTTGGGGCAAATGAAGATGAAGGGCCGCCTGGGTGGATGGGCCTGTGGCAAGGGCAGCAGAAGGCCAGCCCATTGCCTAGGTGGTACTGGTGGGGAGAAGCTGCTGTTATGGGAAGAGGCTGTGTCTGTCTTACCCACCACCTTCCCCAGTGCTCAGCGCCGTGCCTGGCACACAAATGCCCAATAACTTCTTGTTGAACATTGAGTGGTTGACGTCAGGGCTCATATAGCCCCAAGGGAGAGCTTCTTCCCTTCCCCTCTGACAGTCACCTCCTTGAATCACACAGGGCCCAGCGTCAAACCAAATCCCTAGAGGACACACCTGGGGCAATTGCTTGATTTACTGTACAGAAGGGTCTCCTTTGTCTCTGAAACCTTGACCCAGTTAAGGTACCACTTATGTGTGTAAAGAAAACACTAGAATTCTTTGGGACACAAAGCAATAATGTTTTGCTAATAAGAGCAGCTTCTTGTATCTGATCATGTCATCTTCCCAGTGAATAAAACCCAAGCACATCACCGTGGCTAACAGTGCCCTGCATGAACTGGCTCCTGATTTCCTCCCACCTCTTCTTGTACCACCCTATGGTTCCTTGAGCACACCTCTCGTCTGCTCCACCCTCCACCTGGAATGTTCTTCCACGGCTCTTCACAGGCCTCAATCTTTCTGATCCTTTAAAGATCCACTTAACTGGTACTTCTTCGGGGAGGTCCTCTTTGCCCTCTTTATCATCCCCTCTGTCCCATTTTTTATACCTAAGCATTTTGCATTTTCCTGTGTGGTTGCTTTCTTGCATATTAGCTCTCTGCCACACTTGATTGAACACTTCACAAGGAGGACTGTGTTCTGATTTGGTCAGCATCTAGGCTAGGCTCAACTTAAACTCTCAATAAATAAATATTTGTTCAAATGAATGAATGAAGCAGAAAAAGTGTTTCAAGAAAAAAAAACCCTTTTAAATTTCTCCTCTCAGATTCTCAACATATAATACACACACACAGTGTATGTGTGGTTCACGCTGTAAAAATTCCCTAGTCTTGGTAAGGAACTGCCTTAAAGAATAGAGTTGGTGATTTTGTGCCAATGGTCTACTAATATTAGTGCTTTTTATTCCTAAACTTCTAATGTGCTTTCTCTGCCCTTTTCTTTGTCTTTCTTTTTTAGCAAGGGAAGCCGTATGTCTTCGACAGAGTGCTGCCTCCCAGCACGACCCAAGAGCAGGTTTACAATGCATGTGCAAAGCAAATTGTCAAAGGTAAGTGCTATTTCTTTATTTCCTCCTGGGCCTTACAGAGTAATTGAAAACATTAAGTGATATTTGCAGCCTAGGAATCAATGTGCCTTAACTGTAAGCAGAGGCCTGCTAATTGGAAACACTGAATTATAGTCTGAGCTCTGGCCCTGATTTGCTATGATGTCAGGCAAGTTATTTAACCTCTCTATACCTCCTTTCCAAGGAAATTTCTTTATTTCTTTTGCCACCTTTTTGGCAGAGTTATTCTGTCACCTGTAAACTTAAAAGGAAGGTAGGTTGTGGTCACACTATTTCTGTAATGGTTTTAAAATACTGCTGTAGGTATAGGACCTTTTGAAGGAGAAAAATATATGTTCCTTTTGCGCCAGTTGTGCATTTTTGGTTGATTTATTTTGTGCATCTCTCTCTTCAGAAAGAAGCCTTAAATGTGGAAAATTCTTGGGCATCAAGGAATTTTCTACAGCTTCATAAAATCATATTACCTTGTTGGTTATTGAGCTGTTCTTGCTGCTCAGCATTCCATAATTATACTCTCATCTAACCCACTTTCAGCCATCCCACCCAGATCTCGACATTTGTTCCTCCAGGTAGGCAGCCTGAAGCCTAAATTTGTGTCTTAGAGATCAATCCTTCTCTCTGGGACTGGCCTTGGCCCTGAAGGATTTGTGTCAAAATAACAGCAGGGAGATGGAGCAATTTACACATTGCTGTACCTTGCCCTTTCAAGTCAGGGGCAGGTTGGAGCTTGCCTTGGGGAGCTCGCCATCTGGACAGAGCTGAGGGGCATCTCCTGCTATTTGCTTTTCATCATCAAATCCTTGCCTTCAAATTTGAATTCTCCGGCAATTGTGCTTTCAAATATCTTGATGCTGCCAACTTTATAGGTAGCTGTGGATTTAAAGAGCAAAAAGTAAAAACAAAACCCAAAAACACCTTGTCATGTTAGCTCGGCTTGTTTTTGAAGCTCAGCTGACTAACCTAACTATTTGAAATTCATGAAAATCAGCCCTGGGTACATCTGTTAGATTAATTCTGACCCTGGACACCTGCGTGGGAGACTCCATCAGTATGCAATGCTCCTGCTGAGGTGTGTGGTTATTCACATTCTTGTCGCAGACATCAATTAATTTTGAAGGTCTTCACAGTAAGATTATTACAGAAAGCTGAAGAGAAAAAATAAGCCTGAATTTGAGCTCTTTTTGAACTGATAGTATGGGCTTGTATCTGGTGGTAATTTTTGTTTTCGCTCTACTTCTACTCTTTGCTTCTCTTTCTATCTAAACGTGGTTTTTCTCTCTTTCTGGAGTATATGGTTTTAGTTTCCTCCTAGTCAGGTCTCCTTCCCCTCTATTTTCAGACTCTTTTGTATTTTTATTAAAGTAGGATTAATCACATATGAGCCAGAATTTCCTTCTTTCTCTCTCCCCCTTCATTATCACAACCAAATAGTATTTACCACATGCTGTGCTAAGCATGAGGGCCATTTAAATACATCCCCACCCTCTCTAACTCTGTGTGGTAATTAGAGATGGATTTTAAAAAATCCTATGATTAACAAACAATAATAATAATCTTTGAGTCTTTATTTACTAGAGAAGTTTGCGCCCCTTTCAGTGTTTGGATTTTTCTACAGTATGAAATGTCAGAAATAGGCAGTCCTTGGGGAGTTCTTGTGAAGATGTGACCTAACTGTGGATAACTTGTGACCCAATATATGGTCAGCCACAAAGAAAACCACTTAGAATAAAATCAGGCTTTGACATGATATAATAAACAGACATTTTTTGAGCACCATAAACATAACATGAACATACTCATTTCGTACCAATAAAGAGTACCTTATTCACCTTTGAAAGGAAATTACTGGAAGGATGATGAAGACCTGATTTAACTTTTTTTAATATGCACTGAGGCTAGCATGAGGGGAAGTGGCCGGGTATTTCTGCATCAGCGAGGGAAAATGTAGATATGTAAGAAAGAACTCCTTGGAATAGATTTCCAGGTAAAGTTGAGGTATCTCTTGCCATGATGGGCCCTATTTAAATCAGAAATGGGAGGTAGTGCTGTGGGGGCCTTTTTTTCTAGATGCCAAGAATTGAATCAGATGACTCTGAAGGTCACCCAGTTCCTGTGATTTGTAGTAATGGGGTGGACTGGGGAGCTTTCCTTTCAAGTCTATCTAAACCCATAATGGTTTTGAGATCAGGAAGACTCCTTTTAACTGGGCGGCTTTATTCTCTCTCAGTTTTTTCATTCCCTTCAAGTTCACTGGGTTTTTTAAAAAAAATATTTCAAACATTTGATTGTAGAATCCTAGTATCTCCCACACTTTCTTCTTTGTCTTGTCTGTGTTTTCAAAATGTTGTCTGAAAGGGTATGTAGAATCTCCTGCATTTCTTCTAGAAGAGGTTATAAGGTTTGTAACTTCCAGCGCTGTCCTGTGGACACCTAGGAATTAAAAACCGTGGTTACTAGGTGCTATTATTGAAGTACCAGTAACCATGTCCCAGCCTACAGAAGTCACTCAGGGCATTTGCCTTCCAAATGAACTAGATGTAGACTCTCTGGTGCTAGAGAAAGTGGTTTCTTATTTTCCAGATCTAATTTCTTTAAACTTCATTCATTTGGGTATTTCTTTCATTTATTCCTTTATGCAAGTATATTAAGTATTCGCCATGTGGTAAGCACTGCTAGTGACTAGAGTCACTAAGATACGTAAGACTGTCTGCAAAAGGCTTCAAATGTAGCAAAAGAGACGGACACATCCGTAATTATCGTACACATGGGCATTATGTACTTTAAGATGAGTGTGTGCGAAATGCTAAGGGAGCACAGAAGAAAGTCACTTGATAATGATTATGGTGGATGAGGAGAGGGAGTGGAGAATTAAGGAAGGCTTCTTGAAAAGGTTAGGTCCTGAGGACTGTAAAATATATATAACAGGGCTGTTCAAGCAGAAGGAGTAGCAAAAACATAAAGACACAGATTATCAGGCATGTTTGGGCAACTTAAAGTGGTAGGGGGGATGCCTGGGGGATGAATCTTAAAAATTTAGGCTGGATCGGAGTTTGATGGAAATTGATGGACTTTATCCTATAGGCAATGTGGACCCATTGACAAGTTTTAAGCTTAGGATATTATCAGATCTATTTTATTATTATATTATATATGACTCCTAAGAAGAAATATATTTATTTAGCTACTATTATCTGTCAGGCACCTACTGTGCACTTTACGTATGTCATTGTATTTTAAATCTTTTTTTTTTGGGGGGGGGTTGTATTTTAAATCTTAACAACTCTATGAGGTGTGAGCATTATTATTACTGTTGTGCTAAAGAGGAACTTGAGGTAAAGTAACTGGGCCAGGTCAGTTAGGGGTAGGGAGGCTGGGACTTGAGCCTGACTTACTTGAATTCTTCTGCACTATCCTGCCCCTACTTTTCTGGTGGGCCCATAATGAGTATTTAATAACAATTATTTTATGAATTGTTCATTTTCTCTTAGGCCATATGGACTGTTAACCAAGCACTGCAAAAAGACTGGAATGGGAGTGGGGGTGGGAGAAGAGGAGAGCGGGGAGAATAGAGATTGAGGTTCCAGAGCCTCAGGTGGCCCTGGCTGTCTGCCAATAATGAGATGTGTTTCCATTCTGAAGATGCAGCAGCCCTTGCCTGGGTAGAGCAGCTGCCCTTCAAGCTGGCTGGTTGGCCACAGCATTCTTGTTGGCCATGGGTGTTCAGCAGGACCACCTCTGTTTTCTCTGAGCATGGCCTACCTGAGTAGTTGGTTGACTGGTGAGAGCCTTAGGATTCCTAGCAAGGGATGACTTGTCAGCCACTATTGCCAGAAACCCTGGTGCCACTGCCAGGCCACCATTTCACCAGGAGAGTTGGTAGGAGGCCACAACAGCCTCCTCAGGAACATTGATGTGTAGGTATGATCACATCCTCCCCAAATTCTTACCTGACGATGGAACTAACTGTTCTGCTCCAGCAAGACCTGGACCCAGAACTAGGAAAAAGCTAGACAGAAAGCTTGGCTTCTGAAGTCTGCAACAAGAGGCAGAAAGTATTTTCAAGTCTCCCATTCCTCTCCTCCCTTCTCCTGGGAGTTGAGAAGCCTCTTCCCACCTGCACTGGAATCTCTCTTTGGGGTTTGCTTGGCGGCTGGATGGACGTGTGCTGTGTTTGTGGGGTGCCGCTGGCTGTGTGGTGTGAGCTGAGATCACATCACGCCAGACCCCGTCACAAAGGAAGGTTCTGTCTGGCTGAGCTGGTTCCTGGCTCCGAGGCCGGCGTATAGAAGTAATCATTCTGTTACAGCGGAGACTCTGAAACAAATGCTTTCCGCAGGCCCAGGAACTGTCATTCAGTGTAATGAAAGTGCCTTTTTGTGGGCCGTTTCTGTTACAGTTGGGGTGGGGGTGGTTGTCTGGCTCAGCGTGGCGCTGAGCACAGGCCTGTTCTCTCGTCTCTCTTTCCTTGGCTGGTTCTTGGGCCTCCTCCATCTCCTGTCGTCTCAGCGTTCCAACCCCAAAATGCACTGTTCGTGCTGCACTTCCCCTCCCCGCCTCTCCTCTCCACTGATAATCAAATGTAGACTAAACAAATAAACAAACAAAACCCCCCAGAACCTGGAGTTTAGAAGAAAATAGAGAATGCTGGATTTGAAGAGCTTTTTCTTTTTAAATTACCTTGTAATTGAGAATTGAGTTGATAGAGGGCGACGTCAGTTCCTTTCAACCTTGAACACCAGAAGTGGGTTCCCAACAATGAATTCATTGTAACATGATTGTAAATACTTTCAGCGTCAAGCAGAGTTTGTTCTAATGGAGTATTGTATGTTCTCTTTTTCTTAGAAAAGGTGAGGGTGGATTCAGAGGGGTGGACTCAAGGGATTCAAGGGCCTGGGGGCGTCTTGGTGGGGCTAATTCAGATGCCCTGGCCCCATTGCTTCCTGGCAGAGGAAGAAGCTTGTGCTGGGTTTTCTCCTGTCAGTTTCCTTTAGGGTGTGGCATGTTGCTCAGAGTCACCACCCATGCATGTGCACTTGTAGGGTGGCCTGCAGCCCATTATGAGGAGCAGAGGGAGCTACACCCTTGGCCGTGACCGCCTTACCCCTATTCTAACACCTGGGCTAATGTGTCCCGTTGTGCTTTCCACACAAGGGCTTAAGTCTGGAAGCCGTTTCATTCTGGGGGGAGATGTTTAATTTCTAATTCACAGAAGCTTTAACGCTGTGAGTGTGGCCGGCATTCCAATTGTCTAGAGTTTGTGCCATGAATATAGAATTTTAAAAGTACAGTCACATTCGTGGTCATGTCGAGGCTCTCCACTCTGGCCACCGTTTTCAGGCCTGAGGAATCTTTTCTCTGAGCAAGTTGGCATTTTCGTGAAAACTGAAGCTTGAACATCCAACCCTTACACTGTGGTCTTCAAGCCTGCTTCCCCTGTTACCAGGGAAACCATTACCAGAAGCCTGATACGTGTGAACATTCCCTCTCTCTGTATAGCTTGACGCAAACTCTTGAGGGCTGCTAGGATTAAAAAAAAATCCTGCCACTTAATTTTGCTTTTTTTAGCTTCCTAAAGGAAAATCCCGCTTTCTTTTCTGATCCCGGTTCACAGTCCAATAACCTCAGATCAGTAAAATGTATATTAAAAATTTTTTTAGAAAACCCAACAAAATAACAAAAACTAACCAGCATCATAAAATTCAGAGACCAAAAAAACAGACAAACAAACCTAATCAGGACCTGAAATAGATGGAGCTAACTGCCTGGCTTGATTTTTTTGTACATAGCCCTGAGGAGGACACCTCAGTCTGGGGCTCCTCTCCCTGCCCCCATGGTCCTTTCAGGAATGAAGACTTCCTCCCCTTAAGCAGAGATGGTGGGTCAAGGATATTAATTATGCATCATTCTCCTTTCAGTGATGTTTGTGCAAATGAAGGAGGATTGAGGGAATGAGTGCCAAATATATTTTAATCACCTCTGCTGCTTTGAAAGAATTCCCACAGATAATCTTCAGTGCAAAGTAGCCTCTGTCCACGAGCCTCCCCTTGTCCCTGTGTGGAATTGAAGTGGCCTGCAGCATGTAGGGGTTTGCACAGTGTGCTCATTGTGTAATTAAAGAAATTCCCGATGCTGATGGGCCTGGGCCGTCTTGCTAGCACAGTCACTGAAAAAAACAGAGGCATTAACTTAAAGTCAGGGCCCTGGCGGCTTCCGGGCTGATTGGCTTGTCGCTGTGTGGCTCAGTTTACAGAGTGGGGCCCTGCCTGCCCCCAGCTCGGGACTGGCTCTGTTCTGAAGGGGCTGTGGTGTGGCCTTCATGTGAACCCTCCCCAAGGAGCTCACCTGGGCCAGGGTTTAAACTGACCCAAATCAGATCTTCAGGAAAGAAATTCTACTCTGCGCCTCACTCCAGAGACTCAGGGCACCGAAACTGTTTTTTTTTCCCTCAACTCATCTCAAGATATCAACTTAGAGAAGAAAACTCAAGTGTCTGTCTGCTACAGAGAAAGTGTACTGCTCAATGTCTGTCTTAATTTTGATGTTGCTGGGAGAAAGTGTGCCTGCCTTCTTTTTTCATTAATATTCTGTAGGGATGTGAATTCATTTCTTTCTATTTGTGGAGCAGTGGAGGCCCTCATGTCTGCTTTTATCTCACAGTTCTACTTAAAATGCAAATGGAGTTGAAATATATCATTTGTGTGAAAAATGAGATGGGCCATTTGGAAAATGTAATTTTAAAATATACAACCAACACCAGCATATGATCAAAGTAATGACTTAATTTAATTTTATTTTTCTGACTTGCAGATGTCCTTGAAGGTTATAATGGGACGATTTTTGCTTATGGACAGACTTCATCAGGAAAAACGCATACCATGGAGGTAAGATTGCGGCGTGCTATATGGTGTCAGGCTCTGAAAGGACTGAACAGAACTGGTGCTTCCAGCGAAACTTGAGGGACACGTGGCTTTCATCCTGGGCAATAGAGATGGTTAAGAGGATGGTTATGTTTGGCCAACTTGTGTCTTTGAGGAGTTTTATTTATTTATTATTATTTTTTTTTTTGTGAGGAAGATCAGCCCTGAGCTAATATCTGTGCTAATCCTCCTCTTTTTGCTGAGGAAGACCGGCTCTGAGCTAACATTCATTGCCAATCCTCCTTTTTTTTTTTTTCCCCAAAGCCCCAGTAGACAGTTGCATGTCACAGCTGCACATCCTTCTAGTTGCTGTATGTGGGACGCGGCCTCAGCATGGCCGGAGAAGCGGTGCGTCAGTGCGCGCCTGGGACCCGAACCTGGGCCACCAGTAGCGGAGCGCGCACACCGAACCACTAAGCCACGGGGCCGGCCCCTGAGGAGTTTTAAAATAGTGATGAGTAAAAACAACTCAGGAGTTCAGTATTTAAAAAAATCCTTTGTTGATGGCTCAGTCAAAATAGTAATAAATTCTATTAAAAAATAATCATTAACAAGCTAAACACAGGTGTGAGTGTCCTTACGGACTGCAGCCCCAGTCTGAGAAAGTCTGTTGTGAAAATCATTTACCCTAAGGTGGACCTCAGGGGAGGCGAGTCTCTTCAGAATAAATAAAAAACTCTAGGTCAGAGATTGAAAGAAGTTGGCTTGTGGATCAAATTCAGCCCATAGACATATTTTTGTTTGGCCTGTACAGTGGCTTTGTAATAAACTGCAGGCAGTGTTTAAAATGGGAATGATTTCACACAATTCTAAGTTTCCAGCTTTGGTTGAAAATTCTGAAGATCTAGCAACACTGGGTGAAATTTCACCATGATACAAAGGGCAGGCTTCACTAGAGCAGGGGTCTTCATTGTCCTGTTCACATTTCTAGTGTGTAGAACAGCAGCTGTCATCTAGGAGGGGCTCGATAAAATATTTGTTAAAATAATACTGGTGTGGTGGCCCTGGTTGCCCCATGTGTAGGGGGCTGGGCTCTCCCATCTACCCCAGTCCACTCCAGTCCACTCCATGAACACCGTGAGAGAATATGAATTTGCATTCCGCATCCTTCCGTGTTAACTTACACATCTGGCCCCTGCAGGCCCTTGAGGGTGTGACCGCAGCTCAAATTGTTGGCCCTGGAGCTCTGTGGCTCCAGGCTGTCTTCCAGACAAGGCACGTCTGCAGACAAAATTGGCCCTTTTACCTCTTCTTTTCCTGCTTTTTACCGTGGACTCCTATAAGGCGTTTGGGGCCAGATAATTCTTCTAAAGGCTGGGGCTGCCTGACAGGTGAGGAGAGGTGGAAGAGTGGTTATTACAAGAAACTGCACAGAGGATGTTTGGGGAATTCAGCTTACAAGCAGCAGGGTAAGATGAATCCTTAATCCTTCAAGCTTAGGTTTTTCATTTACGGTGTCCTCCTGGGACTGTCACTGAGACGGCTGCCGCAGAATCGGTTTAGTTTATGAATCATTCCTATTGAGCAGGAGATTTCAAAGGCACAAGGCTAAAATGCTCAGCCTCTGATGTTCTGCTCACACCGATTTCAGGTGTGGAGTATGACTCAGGTTGCGGGGGGTCTCATTTCTGTTGTCTTGACTCACTTTCACCCAGTTTGCTGGAGACAAAGCAGTTCAGAGACTGCACAGATTAAAGAAAGAACGAGGGTTATTTGCCACCTCTTCTAGACTGAGCAGGACTGCTCCCTGACACTGGAGCCTCGTCTGACCCTCTTCTCTCCGTCTCACATCCTACAGCACAACACCTTGGAAATGCAGGCATGGGTGTCCCCACGCTCCTGTTCCAGCCCCTCACCTGCCTCTCTTACTGGGCCCTAGACCCTTAACCTTCTAGGCGCTAGAAAAATTACGGTTATACATTTCCTAAGCACCCCCCCACCCCACTCCAGTAGCCGTGGACAAAAACTCCTTCATAGGCCATAAGGCATAGGAGAGAGACAGAGAGAAAGATGGCTTCTCATGAGGGAATTGTTTTCTAGTTTTTTGGAAAATTACCAAACAATGTACAATACCAAAAAAAAAAAAATGCAGTATTTAAAATGCTGTAAAATCTTAGGAAATGCTTCCAAGAGTGACCTTTTTAGTTTTGGGATTAATTCATCTTTGGGAATTATAAGGTATTTGCTAAATGTCAGAAATTTAAATTATAAATCATTAAGAAGAGACTGTTCCCAGAGTACAATCTTTGTTGGTGTTTGTGTCGGGGGGCGGGGGGGACGTGGGAATAGGTGGGTGTAAGATGATGCAAAGAGGTACGCCAGCTCTTTAAAACCAAAATTGGAGACATTTCATTAAATGAGAGCATCTGCAGCCCTCTCTGGTTCTCACGGGTGAAGCCCGCAATGCCCATTGCCATGTTGCGGGCCCAGAGGGGACTCGTGGGGACCTAAAGGGAACTGGATTCTGTGCAGGTCACTCCCACAGTTGCCTAAATTCTGTTGCCTCTTCATCCTTGTCAGTTTTAAGGGGTTTTTTGCAATGAGTTGCTTTTCTTTATTGTGTTTCGAAGATCACATACTCACACTGGCAGGAGGAAGGAGTTAGGGTGGATATGAGTCCCTTCCTAGTGCCCTCCCCCTTAATCTGGTTCTTTCTGCAGGGCATTTATAGATTGGAGAAAAGGTAGGGGATATTTTAGAGGAAAAGAGGATCCCCAGGCTAAAGTCAGAGTGACTATAGGAGACCCAGAAATCCAGGACCCTGGAAGGCAATTAAATTAGAAAACCCTGCAGGGCCTGCGCATCTGAAAGGCGGATCTTATATATTCAGAATTATACATTGTGATCTTTCCTTTTGGAAGGGGATGTTAACTCCCTGAATGGACAGAGCTGTCACATTTTTTTTTAAAGATTTTATTTATTCAGTTTTTTCCCCCCAAAGCCCCAGTAGATAGTTGTATGTCATAGGTTCACATCCTTCTAGTTGCTGTACGTGGGACTCGGCCTCACGTTGGACGGAGAAGTGGTGCCTCGGGGCGCTCCCGGGATCCGAACCGGGGCCGCTAGCATCAGAGCGCGTGCACTTAACCGCTAAGCCACGGAGCCGGCCCAGAGCTGTCACATTTTAAAGCTGTTTTTCATTTTAATGCCCCCATTTTTGGTCTGACATCCAGTGGTGATTCCATTACCTTCTACTGAGGGGAACAAACAGATAAGCCTACTTAAAATTGGAAAGATTAGTTTCTGAAGATGGAGCATTTAAGGCAGATTTTCAATAAAAATATGAAACACTTGGACAGTGTGAGTGCTAAGCCTGTAGGACACTGTCGTGCACTGGGCCCCAGGGTCGTGTGGCCAGAGATCACAGGGCCGGGTTGGAGGCTGGCTGCTGGGAGTGCTGGCTGTGTAGGGAGGAGAAGGCTGGCCCTTTGCTCAGCGTGTGATGTAGGGAAGGGTTTCTCTCGGCCCCGTGCCTGGCTTCGTGGCCCTCCTCAGCACACTGATTTAGTTGGATGGAGACACCCTGTGTTTTCCCCTGTGCCCAAAGAGACACCTGGAGGCCATCAAATGTTGCAGGCTGCCCACTGCCCAGCTGAGTCTGCCAAGTGATTTTTTAAACTTTTTTTTTTTTTTTTTTTTTTTTTTTTTTTTT